TCACAGAGAGGTTGGGCCTGAATACTTAGGAGTCATCGGTGGGAAGGTAGACACCTTGGCGTGGCTGCCATTTCCTAGAGAATGTGTAGTAGGGGCAGAGAGACTGGGGACCTGGGGGAGGTTGAGGAAGGAGCCCAGGGAAGGACACTGGGAAGGAGCAACCAGAGAGTGGGCAGCGTCCTCCTCTGGCCTCCTCAGCACTTATCCCTCAACCTCTCTCACTGAATTTTGTTGTCACTGTTTCCATGTGGCTCCAGTCAAAGTGTGAGCACCTTTGTCCCCACCCCCCAGCCCAACTAGGCTGACACCTACTCAGTCCTCGTGGGTTGAGTGACTAAGTCAAAACACTGAAGAATCTGCTTCTGAGAACTGGGGGACTGGTCAGTGGGCTCCAGCAGAAGGTAGAAGACAACCTGGGGTTGGAGTCAGGATCTCAGGCTGAGGAATGACCCCAAGACCTTGCGTCCACTCGACGGACATCTACTAGGGATTGTGAAAAGGAAATCAAAATGCAGTCGGTTTTGGTAAGTGAGCTCTCTAAAACAGAGCCAGGAGGCCTTGGAGGAAGTGTGACTTATGCACGTCCCAGCCTGGGTGGAAGCTGACCTTTGGACCACTTAGTGTCCTGACAAAGTCATCCAGAACTTCTGCCAGAAACTCAAGATGCTTATCAGACCCTTACCCTAAAACAACCTGTGATGGTCTATCCCTGAAGGACAAATATTTCCTTTCTTGTGTCAGAAGGCAGCCTCATGGCTTTTGCCTTTATAAGCCCCTGATTGTTTTTATTTCCCCAGAACACTTTTTCAGTTTTACCCAAATCTTTCTCCCAAACTGCAATTCTTAAGACCCCAAATAAAGTTCTTTGTTCTTTGCAGCCTTGATATTGGTTATTGTGCAATAGGATTACCACGTGACCGGCACTGTGCTCGAGACTAGAGGCTCTGACCTGTGCTCAGAGAGATGGCCACCAGGGTAAGTGTGACAGTTCCCCACAACAGAGCCATCCACACGGCCTCACTGAGCGCAGACCGTTGTTAGTGGGATGTGGGCCGGGGCCGGGGTGGGGTGGGGTGTGGTATCAGGCAGGTTGGAAGGTGAGGGAAGTTGAAAAGCATCCTGGGAATGAGCAGAGGCTGATTTTGGAGGGAGGGGGGAGCGTGCGGGGGAATGTGCAGAAATGAACTCAGTTTAGTGTTTAGTTTAAAGTTTTTTTTTTTAATTTAGTTAAAAATTCAATGCAAGAAGGAGTGAGAGACCAGATTCGGTGGGTAAGCAGGCAGGAGTTCATGAAGGAACTGAATGCCCAAACTTGGACTTTTAATCAAATTCAAGGCAATGGGGACCCCTGAAGGGTTTTGAGAGGAGAAGAACATAGTCAGGTGTGCTCTGAGTGGCCTGCTGCAGAGGGAAGGTTAGCAAGCATCACCCAGATGGTCATTATAACAATACGTACTGTGAAAACCTTCTTTGAGTGCAGCTTTTGCACTTGCAGATGCTAGCAAGGTCCCAACCCACCTGGCTGGGATGCAAAGTCCAGGTCCCTGGTGAGGGCGAAAACACGAGAAAGAAAAAATGAAACAGTTCGTCTTCTCCTACTAGGAACCCATCCACCTGGAAGAGCTAATATAAGCGCAAGACCCAACACAGCCCTCCTGCCCGCTCTGGGCTCTGCCATTAAAAATCCAAAAGGCTGTGGTCTGTGAGTTGCCGTGAGGAAGCAAATGGTTGTTTCCCAGTCCCCGGAAAAGAGTGAGCTCCACAGTCCCTCACACAGGATGAGCCATGGAAACACGTGGAAAGTAAAAACTCAGGGTGGTCCGAACACGGCGATGATGGAGCATCAGAGCAGACAGCTGCAGGAGCCACCTGCCCGCGCAGCCCGTGAGGACACAGAGGCTCACAGAAAGGAAGCAGGTATCATTTCCAGCCGGTGCTGACTGAACAATACAATAAATGGAAGCTGCTCTACATTGGGTCATAAATCTGAGCTGGCCAATTTCCCACTGAAATAAGTCAGCTGCCTCCTCCTGGAGAGCCCCGGGGGGCCCTGGCCCAGTGCAGGCCCTGCATGACTCTCTTCTTCTCATGAAAGAATAATCCTTCAATTTCTGAAGCCGCAGAGAGTATGTGGGTGATTGTTTTCATATTATTCTTCAACCCATGTTGAAATATTGCATTAAATAAAAGCAGTTAAATTAAAAACAAATAATTCTCTTGGTGGCATATTGGGGAACCTCTTCAGCCGAGGGACATTTTCTACTTTCCTCTATTTTTTTTTCTCATGTAAGAGTTACCGACTGGGGCTTCCCTGGTGGCGCAGTGGTTGAGAGTCCGCCTGCCGATGCAAGGGACACGGGTTCATGCCCCGGTCCGGGAAGATCCCACATGCCACGGAGCGGCTGGGCCCGTGAGCCATGGCCGCTGAGCCTGCATGTCCGGAGCCTGTGCTCTGCAACGGGAGAGGCCACAACAGTGAGAGGCCCGCGTACCGCAAAAAATTAATAATAATAATAAGAGTTAGCAAATGAACATAACTTTTCTTGAGAACATCTTGAGATCAGCAGGGTATGGAGTAGCACAGTTGAATCATTTAAAGTAGGGGGTCTTGGGAAGCACAGCCAGCCAGGGGTCACTACTCGACCCGAGGGCATGGGCCAGCTGCAAATCACCAGGGACAGAGCTCTGCCCCTTGCCTACCCTCAGGAAGAAGGAAACCCCAGCCCCGCTTCAAGCTGCCCTGCCTAGAGATGGAAAAAGTCCTAGGGCTGGTTGAGGAACAGGCAGGAACAGAGGCTGCCTGTGGCAACGTGAGAAGAGTCATATCAAGTCTTAAATTAGAAAATGGTAAGAGCAGAAAAAGATGCGTGGCTCTCCTTAACCCAACTTCCTCCATCTCCCTCCACCTTTCTGGGTTAGTTTCTGATGTACAGCAAGGTGTATATATATTCTTTTTCATAGCCTTTTCCATTATGGTTTTTACTACAGGATAGTGAATATAGTTCCCTGTGCTATACAGTAGGACCCTGTTGTTTATAGTAGTGTGTATCTCTTAATCCCAAACTCCTAATTTATCCCTCCCCACTCTTTCCCCTTTGATAACTATAAATTTGTTTTCTATGTCTGTGCATCTGTTTCTGTTTTGTAAGTTCATTTGTATCATGTTTTAGATTCCACATATAAGTGATATCATGTGATATTTGTCTTTCTCTTTCTGATTTTCTTCACTTAGCATGATCATCTCTAGGTCCATTCACGTCACCTCAAATGGCATTTTTTCATTCTTTTTTTAATGGCTAATAGTCCATTGTATACATATCTAACATCTTCTTTATCCATTCATCTGTTGATGGACATTTAGGTTGCTTCCATGTCCTGGCTATTGTAAATAGTGCTGTTATGAACATTGGGGTACATGTACCTTTTTGAATTAGACTTTTCTCCAGATACATACCCAGGAGTGGGATTGCTGTATCATATGGCAAATCTATTTTTAGTTTTTTAAGGAACCTCCATACTCTGCCCTCATTCTTATTGGGAAAAACAAACAAAAAAGGAAATCCTGCCTATGATTATAAACTAATTCAGGAAAGTCAAATGATTTCATTCCATACGCCAATGCTGATTGATTATAATGGCTGCCTAGAGGAATGTGTTGAGACTGGGTCTGAGGTCATCTCTGGGCTCCATGGGAGAGAGCAACAGCACTGACCGGTGATGTCTGTCATGCATACAGGATGGGAAACTGTTGGCACACGTGCCATGTATTTTCTAATCACGGGACTCTGTTCAGAAATAATCCATTTATACTGGATTTATCCTTGAAAATATCAATGAGATAACAGCCGAAGGCTCAGGATCAAGGGAGTTTCAACTCCTAGCAGGAGGCCCCAGTTATGTTTTTGTCTCTAATCACAGAAATGAATTCTAGCAGTGCATTTAGCCTCCTGGTTCAGGTCAACGAGTTGGAATTACAGTTCTTCCTCTGAGAGCTATAGATTGTTGGTGCTGGGAATGGGGTTATGACTCATCAACGTTTTCCCCAGCTCTAGTGGTTCATGAAATAAACTGCTTAAAACAAACAAACAGGGCTTCCCTGGTGACGCAGTGGTTGCGAGTCCGCCTGCCGATGCAGGGGATGCGGGTTCGTGCCCCGGTCTAGAAAGATCCCACATGCCGCGGAGCGGCTGGGCCCGTGAGCCATGGCCGCTGAGCCTGCGCGTCCAGAGCCTGTGCTCTGCAATGGGAGAGGCCACAACAGTGAGAGGCCTGCGTACCGCAAACAAACAAACAAACAAAAACACCTTTTGGCAAAGAGGTCAGGGCTGAACCTTGGAAAGGCTGCCCAGGAACCTTGCCTCCTGGACTGCCAATCCTTTCTAAGGACGTGGCCCCCCTGGGTGGCCACCCTGGGCGGAGGCCAGGTGACACATAAACATGGGCCAAGATGATTCCCGTAGGCTCAGAGGATTCACCACAAAGTGAAATACTCTTCTTTTCCCTCAGTTAGTGGTTCATTTCAGCTGAAAATAAGACCTAGCAGGTACAGGTCTCAAGGTCAACAGTTCCTACCATGTCCATGCAACAGTCCTTTGAGAATTCTTTCCCCGAGGCCAACAATTAATTCCCTTTAGGAAACAGGACTGGAGTGGCTGGAAGGGGGTCAGCCATCCTAACAGTGCTGGGCCCCATTCTCTGCTCTTGCTGTTCTGGTTCCAAATCCAGCATGGACAGAGGGGTGTGCACACAGCCTGGAGCATCCTTGTGGAAAAGGCGCTCTCTCTCTCTCTCTCTCTCTCTCTCTCATAGGATTTGAACAAGATAACAGGCCCATCCTGCATACAGTTCGATAGATTTACAGACAAAAGCAAAGCAAGCCCCTCAGTACCAACAAGCTCAGTCTGCTGGAAAAGGCTCTGTGTCCCCCTGGGGTGCAGCCCAGAGAGGAGGCATATGGCTGGACACAGAAGAAAACAAAGTTGGGCAGAACATGCCTTGGATGAGTTAATGAGCCCAGGACTGAAGCTCCTTTATTGATGTGGGGAAATGTTAACATTATATGGCTAAGTGGAAAAAGCTGGAAACAAAAAAGAATATACAATGTAATCCCCATTTTACACGTGTGTGTGTGTGTGTGTGTGTGTGTGTGTGTGTGTGTGTGAAGGCATGGACACACACAAAGAACAAGATGGAAAGGAGAGGAACTAAAATGTTCACATTTTATCTTGGCAAGGAGGAACTGCTAACGACCCTGGGTTTGGTTTATTTGTCTTGGTGGTTCTTTTGTCTTCATACATTTCTACATTTTCTGTTTTCTATTTGCGCACACGTTCTTTCGGTAATAGAAAATGAAGTAAATGTTACTTTAGAATAATTAGAAAAGAGTGGGAAAGGGAATAATAAAAAAGAACATGAGTATTGGAATTATTTAGAACTAATAATAATCCTCATTCTGTCCCATCTTAGCTGGTGTCCTCCCTGGCCTCTGGGGCTCTCCCTAAAGCACCTACACAGTACATGCGTAGACAGAGAAGGCAGACCTACTGTTTTTATGGTGGTTGGTTATTGTTTTCAGAGCAAGGGTTCTTAGCAGCCAGCAAAAGATGATTGTGGTGCTAGGGAGAGATTTTTGGTTTCCCCTGCTGAGACCGAGGGTCTAGAGTAGACGTGAGGCAGCCTGGTGGATGCCAGAAAATGGTGCAGCTGGGAGGTGCCCACACTCACCATCCAAACCCTCCGCAGTGCCTCCAACCCAAGCATGGGGAGTACAGACCAGCAGAGACCTTGGGGACCTGGTCAGCAAGATTCCAGCCGCATCCGTGGCCGTGACTAATGTGAGCTAACATTCAAGAGTCTGGGACACAGCCAGCAGACATTTTCTTTGTGAAATACTGTGTAAGTGCTTATGAGTAGGGGGCCAAGCCAGGCTGGGAGGGGGGATAGATGGATTCCCCTGCAAGTTGATGAGACCCACAGCCAAGTAAAGCGGTTGGACCTCCATGGCAGAGGCACGAGGGACACGGGGGATACCAGGATGGGGCTGAGCATGGCTCCAAGGGCTCTGGGGACATCGTGCAATGTGGGAAGGACCATCCACAGTGGCCCAGCAGCTTCTGCCACAAGGAGCAGTCCCAGGTCCATTCTGCCTTGTAAATCCGGCTCCAGAACGCTCAATTTCAGCAAGAGCTCCCCAGAGTTCCCAACCGGGCACATAATTTCACCTTCTTAATAAATCACCGGGAGTCCTCCTGTCCTAAGAAAAACAAGAAGAGGAACAGCCAGAATCTGTCAAGAAATTAATTGAAAACAGCAAAATAAGACAATATAATTCCTTTCTCAAGGGCAGCCTTGGAGGTCGGGTACTGTCCCTCTGAGGCCTGCTGACCCAGGGCCCCCCAGCTGCTGGGAGGAGGTGCTCCTGCCTCCAGCAAACTGTAGCTCTTCCCTCTCTAGCAAAGCTATAAACAGCACATCTTTGTGCACCTCCCAACCCAGGAGCCAGGGCCACAGACGTCATGTGGCATCAAGAATGGCTCTTCTAAGAAAAGCTAGAAAAAAATGCCTCTGTGTATTATGTGCACCTGAAAAAGGCACTTGTGTGTGTTCATTATATGTTTCATTTATGTGTTTGCATCCTTTCTTGTGTGATGATGACCAAACTAGGATCTGAGCAACTTAGAGCTGGACGGAAACCCTGAGATTAGACAGCACCCCCAGTGCCCAGCATTGCACCCAGGACTCAGGTGCCATGTCCTCATTTGATGGGTGAGACTATGGTCATGGTCACAGACACAGTTAAATGCAGGTCTTCTGCTCCCAAGTGGCTCTATCCCATTGGTCCTTCTTCAGTTCCATTCAGCAAACCAGAGCACACAGTGAGAAGGCAAAGCTGAATAAGACAGAGCCCCTACCCTCGAGGGACTGGTGGGAAAAGCAAGGATGTACAGGACTGTGATGTTAAGAAATAATACTAATAATTCAAAACCTGGAAATATGGCCACAAGAGGACAGTAAGTCCTTCCAATGTCATTTGGTCATTGTCTCGCAAGTCCACCCAAGGATTATTTAATCACCCAGGGGAAGGTATCTTTGTTTAATGGCTATTTACCATTAATTAAGGGCTCAGACTCTGTGAAGTTACATGTTAACTTGTAGATCATGTCCAGTAAAGATATAAATAATGTCTATTCAATAGAAAGCATAACATTAAAGACTGATTTTTTTAACTGCCTTGTAAGACATTAACCAGCTGTTTTGTTTTTAATTGGGGTAAAATAACATAAAATTTTACCATCTTAACCATTTTTAAGTGTACAGCTGTGTCATTAACTATATTCACATTGTGCAACCATCACCGCCATCCATCTCAAGGACTCTTTTCATCCTGCAACACTGACACTCTACACCCATTAAACATAACTCCCCATTCTCCCCTCCCACCAGCACCTGGCAACCAAAGTCTACTTTCGGTCTCAATGAATTTGACTATGCTACATATCTCATATTAGTGGAATTGTGCAGTACTTGTCCATGAGACTGGTTTATTTCACTTAGTATAATGTCCTTAAGTTTCATTCATATTGTAGCATGTGTCAGAGTTTCTTTCCTTTTTAAGGCTGAATCATATTTCATTGTACATATACACCACATTTTGCTCATCCATTCGTCTGTCCATGGACACTTGGGCTGCTTCCACCTTTTGGCTATTGTGAATAATACTCCTATAAACTTGGGTGTTCAAACATCTGTTGAGACTCTGCTTTCCGTTCTTGCGGATATATATCCAGAAGTGGAATTGATGGATCATATAATAACCCTACGTCTAACTTTTTGTGGAACTACCATACTGTTTTCCACAGTGGCTATCCTGTTTTACATTCCCACCAACAGTGCACAAAGGTTCCAATTTCTCCGGATCCTTCCCAACACTTGCTACTTTTTGGTTTTTTTATTCTAATGGGTATAAGGTATCTCATTGTGGTTTTGATTTGTACTTCCCCAGTGATTAGTGATGTTGAGTATCTTTTCATGTGCTTATTGGCCATTTGTATATCTTCTTTGGAGAAATGTCTATTCAAGTCCTATGCCCATTTTTTAAACCAGGTTGTTTGGGTTTTTTGTTGTTGAGTTGCAGGAGTTCTTTTATATATTCTGGATATTAACCCCTTATCTGATACATGATTTGCAAATGTTTTCTCCCATTCCATGGGCTGTCTTTTCACTCTGTTGATAGTTTGCTTCCATGCACAAAAGTTTTTAATTTTGATATAGTCCAACTTATCTATTTTTTTCTTTTGCTTCCTGTGCTTTTGGTGTCATATCCAAGAAATCATTGCCAAATCCAACGTCATGAAGTTTTTCCCTTATGTTTTCTTCTGAGTTTGATAGCTTTAGCTTTTCCATTTAGGTCTTTTGATCTGCTTAGAGTTAACTTCAGTACATGGTATAAGGTAAGAATTCAACTTCATTCTTTTACACATGGGTGTTCCACTTTCCCAGCACCAGTTGTTAAAAAAGACCATCTTTTCCCCACTGAATGGTCTTGGCATGCTTGCCAAAAATCATTTGACCATACATGTGAGGGCAACCAGTTTTGTTCTTAACCTAGATATTGTACTTGAACATTTCCTTTTAAGTGCTTGTAAATACCCATTTCCTCAAAATGCTCTTTGAACCAGCTTTGCCAACTTATTGGTTCCCTCATTCATGAATTACTAAATCTTTGACACCTGCCCATTCCATATTTTATGAGAGCCATGTTTTTAAATGTGTGAACATTATGCTTTGACAGTAACATACAAAGTGCTGTGGGTGTCGGGGTGAAGATCATCTCTAATCGAGGGATTCAAACACCTTTTCACTTTTGAAATCAGCCTTATGATTAATGGGTAGACTTTTGGCAGATAGACATGGTGGTTTGGAGCGAACATTAAAGACCGCGGAAACAGCAGGAAGAGTGTTTTCCTTCCTGTTTGCTTCCTTTCTTGTGTGTCTTAGCCAGCAAAGTCTATTGGCCAACACAGATGTGACACTTTCCATGAGAAAGCCTTAGGGAAAAAAAAGCCTCTTGCCTCTTTCATATGTCATTTCTCTTCAGGACAGGTCCCTGCTACAGCTCCAGGTCCTCTCAAGCCTCCACCTCCACCGCACCCCCTTCCCCTACCTGACAAGAGGCTAGAAAGGGCCTAGGCCTTTCCATCCATACTTTAGAGTCATCTCTGATTCTGCCTTAACTAGGGAATTGCATTTCCTGGCTGTCTCCATCCCACCACATGGGGCCTCCATGAAATATCTCCCTGACAGACTCTAAAGGTTACCAGCATCAATCACAGGGATAAACAGCAAACAAGCCCAGGACAGAGCAGCCACCTCTGTCTGATCCAAAGTGGTATTAATTAGAAACCTTAACTTCTGGCCACAGAGGATGAGAACTGCCACCCTCAAGTGACCTTTGCCTTGGCAGAGTGTCCCCAGCCACGGCTGGTGGCAAAGCCCCTGTCTTTGGGGATCTTTACTCTGCAGGGTGCTTCTGAACCGCTTGAATTTAACGCTGAGACTTGTGTTCCCTGAGGATCTCAGGTGTGCACATTCCTCCTTGGGTTTTTTTTTTTTTTTTTGCGTTACACGGGCCTCTCACTGTTGTGGCCTCTCCCGTTGCGGAGCACAGGCTCCGGACACGCAGGCTCAGCGGCCATGGCTCACAGGCCCAGCTGCTCCGCGGCATGTGGGATCTTCCTGGACCGGGGCACGAACCCGCGTCCCCTGCATCGGCAGGCGGACTCCCAACCACTGCACCACCAGGGAAGCCCCCTCCTTGGGTTTTTGAGATCACATTGTTGTGGGCCCCAGGCCATTCTCACCTGAGCTTCCTAGCCCATGGCCGTGGCATTTCCTCAGGCTCTCGGCGGCCACAGCAGCCTGTATGGTGGCTTGACACTGGATGTCCCAGCTTCTGGCTTGCTGAGAGGCTGTCGCTGACCTCCCCCTCCTCCATGGGAACCCATGCACAGCGGTAACCCAGAGGAGCCTCAGCAGAGCCTGTGCCTTGCGTGCTGCTGAGACCCATGGCCTTGGGCCTGCCCACTCCTCTACCGCTCCCAGAGCCTCAGCTGTCCAGACACCCTGACTGAGGCCTCCAGGCATCCCAGCCCCTCAGACTTGGCTCAGCCTCTACCACTGGTAAAGACACCTCCCCGCTGGGGTCAGCAGGGCTCCCTAAGGGGCTGACCAAGGAAGGAGTGAGTGAAGACTCAGTGATCTCGAAGCAGGGCTGCTGGGCTACTTTCCTGGCTGGGTAACCAGTGTGTTCTCTGAGTGGTTGAGGGCAGACTCAGGGTGAGCCAGCCTCCACCCTTTCACCTTTCACTAGTTCAGCAACCTTGGGCAACTCACTCAACCTCTCTGAGCCTCAGTTTCCACATCCGTAAAATGGTGCTCATAATAACACCTCAGAAAGCTGCTCGATAGTAAATATAAAACACTTAGTACAGCACCTGGCAATAATCAATCCTCAACAAATGTTAACTATTTCTTGGGGGTCAGGGGTGGGTTTTGTCCCACTTGTGCAGTTGTGTGTACACAAAGAACACGAAGTCCTAGGGGAAGGACAAGTGGAACAAAGGCCAGAGATCGTGCCACTCATTTCTCCAGGCCTTCTCTTTGCTGACCAATGTTTCTACCAACTCATAGAGAAGGCTGTCCTACTTTCATATTTGCTTGTCCAGAGAGTGATAAACTGTTATCTCCTTAAAGTCATCCAGCCTGCGTTCAGACGGGCCCTTCTCCACCTTGACAGATGGGATTACATTCATCTCCCTTCCCCTTTGGCAACTGGAAAGATCAATGAGACATTAGTCTCCCTGACTCTGACTTTCTCCTGGGGGGAATGCTCACAGCCCAGAATTAATGTGTCAATTGATTTACTCCTGGTGTCTAAAGGAGTAGACAAGACAAGTCCTCCCACTGCTGGGAGGGGAGATGGGGAGAGAGCAGCCTCTGCCACTTTCTGGGTCCGGCTCACAGGCCTGTGCTGTCTGGACTGGTTGAGGAGACAGTTGCAGAGAGACGGATTCACCTGGGATCTACATCCTGGAGACTGGCCGGCCCTAGCTCTGGAGTCCCAAAGCCATGGACACTCTCAGGTTCTACGGCCTTGACAAGCTATAGACCCCTCCAGACCTCAGTTACTTCATCCACAAAATGAGGATGGAGATCCCTGATGGGATGACTGTGGAATTAACAAGAGATAATGTGTGTGAAGAGATGTGCTTTGTAAATGTTAATTTTTTATCTTTAAGTACAAGAGTAAATGCAATGTTCTTGAGTGAGAAACCAACCAAGTTTACAGATATTAAAACTAAGGCCTAGAGAGATGAAATCCATTTTCTTTTTTTTTTTTTTTGCGGGACGTGGGCCTCTCACTGCTGTGTCCTCTCCCACTGCGGGGCACAGGCTCCGGACACAGGCTCAGCGGCCACGGCTCACGGGCCCAGCCGCTCCGCGGCATGTGGGATCTTCCCAGACCGGGGCACGAACCCGTGTCCCCTGCATTGGCAGGCAGACTCTCAACCACTCCGCCACCAGGGAAGCCCTGAAATCCATTTTCAGTCAGGTAAGTTATGAAGACTGTCCACTGCCTTCACTGCTTTTGACACTGTGATTGCGTCCCTGCCCCCACTTTCTACTGGCTCCTTGGGAGCTAGAATAATGGACAGATGAAGGGTTGGAGAGGGTCACTTTCCTGAGATTTTCAAACGGATTCCCCGCCTAACAGAACATTTGCTGGACACTTTCTGTGTGCTAGATGCTTTCCTAGGGACCATGGAGGGCAAAGACAACACACTCAAGTTCTGATAAGCCCTTGACCTTGAGGGTTTGGTGTTTCTCTTTTCATCTTTCTCTCTCTCACTCACTCGTTCGTGTGTCTTCTCCCTCCCAGAAGCAGCTCTGCCTGCCCCACTGAGTCCTTTCCTTACAATGTGGCCCCAGACTCGGGTCTGGGCCAAACACTCAGGTTGTTGTTGGTAATGATCATTGGTTCGAACAGCTTCTCTTACCCAAAATAAAACTTGGGTTTTGTTTTGTTTTTTCCATGATCTCTAGCTTATTTACTGTATAGAACATAAACTCCTTGAGTGAGGAAGCTCTGCCTGATTTATTACTACTACCCACATAGAATTTGGCAAACTAGGAGTGAGAAATCAATTTTAAAAAATGAAACTACAGATCTACAGTGAGGACACGGCACGAAGCTGGCGGACATACATACTCTGAGATGCATTTCATGGCCCTTATCTCTAGAAGCACAAAGCAAAATGACCAACCTCTCGAATTTCATATTCTTATACTCAAGCAGAAGAAAGGGCAGATAGCTCTCCCCTCCCCTTGCCAGGGCGTGGAACTTTGCCTGGTAAAGTTGCTCTCTGAGGTATGTGCATGCCTCACCTAAGAGCTCTCCCTCACGCAAAGAAGGAAGCCCCCTCCCTGTAGGAGACACTTGAAATGCTCTCTTGCTGCCCGGCCCCAGGTGAATACCTTTGCTTTGCTCAGGCACTTGCAGAACAGATATAGAAAGCAGACATTTCCTCTTCAGCCTCCTTTGCAACTAAAGCCAGGGATGTGATCCAGGCTGCGTTGCTTAAACTTACCCACACAAGACTTCAATTCAGAGGCTCTGGGAAAATTCCACTTTGCTGGCAACGGCAGCAGCAGAGGGGGTCTGGCTTCGGGGCGTAGCAAGCATAAGGTTAGGTTCCTGCCACAGTAACGGCCTTGGTGCCGCACGCTGTTGTGGGCTGCCACAAGACCAGTAGCGGGGTGGCATGGTGGGCTTAGACCTTTGTCACTGGAAGCTTAGACTGAGCTCTCCAGCCCTCCCAACAATTGGGTAACCGTGAGCTACCAGTGTCATTTTAAAATTTCCTTTCCTACTCTATAAGCCAAAGTCAGCTTCTGTTGCTTGCAACTAAGAGCCCTGAATGACAGTCTAGTTCAACTTCGCCTCAGCTATCATTTCCTGAGGTCCTGGCAATGACAACAGCTCTCACCTGTTCACTGTCTGCGGTGGCCCCAGAGACTGTGTGAGGGGCTTCACATGCATCGTCTCATGGAGTTCCCTCACCACTGCCATGAGGTGGATACTATTCTTATCTTCAGGGAGAACTGAAAAAAATCTGAGATATCAAGGCATTAGAGGACTTGTCCAAGGTCTTACAAGAGGGTAATTCAGTGTTGTAACAATAGGTAAGCTCCCGAAGCTAAATTCAGATTCCAAGAGAGACGGTGGCAGCCGACAAAAAATCTTCTCGCTCCGCTCTTCATGGCAGGGTGTGCAGAACTAGATGGGTCATCTTGTCTTCAGGACATTCTCTACTCTGAAGTAAGGACCAGTAACACTTCACTAAGTTCGTAGACGCTGAAATAAAGACACGAAGATATTTCACTGCCCAAGAAGGATTTTTCCAGGACAGTGGCAGACATGATTGACAAGGGGACACATTATTACCCCACAAGCATGTTTTCTGAAACTCCCCAGGGGCTAAGGGAGTCCATGCTGGGTAGACAGTGAGGGGTAGCCAAAGAAGCTGAAAGCCTGCATTTAACTAAAAGCATCAGTGTGCAGGTCGGCACTGCAAATACATTTTAATACAGGTAATTCCTTTCCCATTCATTTTCAAGCACTTATTTCATTTACACAATCCCAAGGGCCAATAAATCTTGGCATTAAGGCTGATTTGATGTGTGATGCAGACAGTCTGATTAAGGATAGGGTATTTTATCAGCTCCTCTAAATTTCCTTTTCTCTAGTCTACAATTTTTTATACTGGGCTGATCTTTTTTTTATTCATAAGGGCTTCATTCCCATTTGTCATGGCTGCATCAACCGGGCATCTAATGAAGACTTGGATATGGAAGTCTGCATCTCATCTATCCTCAGTAGCAAAATTAATAAAGCAGCAGGAAAACAGCTTCCTGAACTGAAATGTCCTTGGCCCACCCTGAGTCATCTAAAATATATTTTGCTTGTGTCTTCCAAAATTGGGGCTTAGCTATAAACTTTAGGAGGCAGTGCTCAATTTCAACTTCCATCCACTGATAGCCTGTACCCTACTCCCCTGCCCAACCCATTGCTTGGAGAGGCTTGGACCAGAGTGGCCAGAAGCCTATTTTCCCACTATCCCCTCTGCACACATTTATTGAGCACCTTTTATAGGCCAGGCTCAGGGAGATATAAAACAGGCTCTAGAAGGCCACAGTCAAATGGGTCATGCCACCACTGTTGGCCAATGCAAGAAAAACATCTTAGTTAGCCAAGTGTCAAGGCTGGGAGCAAGCTGGAATGATTATCTGCCCTATCCTTTTGCCTCTGAGAGGGTGAGCCTCCCAACCAGTTTCTCTATAATTAAGGGCTGCCAAACGCCTGTGATCACAGACATTGACTTGTAGACTTTATGGATATATGAGTATATTGGTTTCCCAGGGCTGTCATAACACAGTACCACAGACTGAATGGCCTAAACAACAGAAAGTTATTGCCTCACAGTTGTGGAGTCTAGATGTTCAAAATCAAGGTGTCCTTCTGAGGGCTGTGAGGGAGGGATCTGCTCCAGGCCTCTCTCTTTGGCTTGGAGATGGCTGTCTTCTCCCTCTGTCTTTTTACATTGTCTTCTCTCTATGAATGTCTGTGTCCAAATTTCTTTTTATAAGGACATCAGTCATAGCAAATTAGGGCCCACCCTTATGACCTCATTTTACCTTGATTACCTCTGTAAAGACCCTGTTTCCAAATAAGGTGACATTCTGAAGTACTGGGGGCTAGGACTTCAACATATGAATTTTGAGGAGACACAATTCAACACGAGTGTCTCTAAAACTGGTTTAACTAAAGCTTTAAGACAACCTGTAGCAACACAATATAGTTAGAACACCACATGGAGGGTTAAGAATTCCATGTTCAAGTTCTAAATTAGCCACTTCCCCTCTCTGAGCCTCAGATTTCTTCTCTAGAGAATAAGAGAGCTGGACTGGGCCTCCAGAACCCTCTCACGTCTCCAGGATTGTGTTGCTGATGACATAAGAGAAGTTGAGGCAGCACAGGGGGCAGGTTAATGGTGAGGCTCCACCACTCACAAGCAGGCTGATCCTGAGCAAGGATTGATCTTCTGAGCCTCTTAAGTGAGGACAGTGACAGTAGCTACTTCAAAAAGGTTCTCAGGACTAATGAGGCCTGTGAAATGCCCGGCACGCAGCTGTCCCTCCATGTGTACGAACTGCTAAGGGTATTACTGCTCTTATTACTATCAGGAGTTAGGCTTTGGATCTAGGACTCAGCTCTCAGGCAGTGTCCACAATCGGAAGACAGGGGGCTGCACCCCAGTGTCCTATCCAGTAGCTCATGTGGAGTGAGAGGCTTTAGCTGGCAGGACTCTTGTGAACCTTGGGACATGCCTTTCCCCATCTCCACCTTCCAAATCCCATCCCATTCCATTTGGCTTTTCACGTTCATGTCATTAGGGTTAGGGCTAGGATTTCAGGTGATTTTTTTTTTCTCACTGTTTTATTAATTTTACACACCCTAGAAAAGTATAATAACACATATTTCATCATCTCGTTTAAATGCAGCCCTGCGACCTCACACCCACATGAACACTAGATTGCTTGAGGTCTGTAGTGGTCATTCGGCTCTTATCATCTTTGAACTGTTAGTTGTTTGCTCATGTGTGTCCTCGCCTAGACTGTAGGCAACTTGACGAGACATATGGGTCTTCTTACTGAGATTTAGCAAACCTTACTGATTGACTCCCACAATGCACCGGCCCTCTTACATGAAAAATCTCATATCATCCTCCCCACAACCTGATGAGGCAGGTAATGGTGTTACCATGTCACAGATGAGCCCCTGAGGCTTGGGGTCACATGTGTAGGCAGTGGCTAAGCCAGGATCCAATTCTACATCGCCTGACTCCGAGGCCACCAGTCTAGCCTAGTGCTGTCCTCTGCAAGCTGTACCAGCTCAGGAGGCTCGTGGGTCCCTGTAACTCACTTAGGATCCTCCAGCCTGAGCAGAGTTTTCCATGGCCTTGGTGCCCCCTGGTGGCATGTGAGGGCTCGTTCCCAGCCCAGCTTCAGGCTCATTCCACTGCAGGCCTGCGACCCCTAAGCACTTGAAAGAGTGACCAAGGGGGCTGGCCCTGGCGCAGCAGGGCCCTCTGCACCCAGGGAAGAGCTAGTGACACTAGAGTGTCACTTTTTAAATGGACCGCCCCCGCCCCGAGGATTCTGCTCCTGATAGGTCAAAGAAGAGCGCTTAGGGTCTCAGGCCAACAGCCCTGAGATGAACTACAAGGTCTGGTTCACACCACCCAGCTTCTCATCTCCCCTTTCCCAGTCAGGACATGTGGGCATGGGCAATCTCTGCAGCACCCTCCTGGGATTTCCATTTTCCAAGAGCTTGTTTATGGAGTGGGGGAGGGAGAAGAGGATAAAGGTGGTTAAAGTTGAGGACTTAAAAGCTTCTTTACATAACACAGTCTTTTTCTCAAAAAACCCATCAAGATTCTTCAGTAAGTATTACTGGAGTCCTATTGTGCTCCACAGCGCTCAGGATGCAGAAATGGAGAAAACAGCCTTTCTGTCTTGGAAAGTAAACATATAAAAAATTACAATGCAATGAGGCAAGTACTCTGATATGGGTGTCCTGGGACTTCTCCTGTCACACCCAAGATGGTTATCAGTACTCAAAACTGAGAATAAAGAATCATCAAATACCTCACAAGCTGAAGTAGAAAACAATTAGGGGTCAGACACCTTGTCCAACTAACCATCACTCCAGCCAACAGCACTTCCCCAGCTTACATAAGCCACCGCTCCTTCTACAGGGACAAAACAGCAAGAAGACACAGAAAGAGGGGGTGGTGTGGAATAGCCTGCCTTCCCACCTCCGGAGCAACAAGGATGCTTGAGCCAGCGGTCATCCTCTTCCTACGTGCTCATTTTCCCCTTGGAGGCCTTCCTTAGCACGTAAAAAGTGATCACCAGCTTTTCCGGGAATCCTATAATCACTGATCTGGCTTTGAGATAATCACAGATATCCTAGAGCTGCATTAACCAATGGTAGCCACCCATCACACACATAGCTATTGAGCACTTGAAATGTGGCTAGTCTGAATTGAAACACGCTGTCAGTGTAAAATATACACCGGATTTTGAAGACTTAGTCCGGGGTGGGGCAGGGGAATGCAAAACATCTCTGTATTTTAAAAATTGATTACATCATGAAATGATAATATTTTGGACATAGTATTTGGATAAATAAAATATATTATTAAAATTAATTTCACCTGTTTTACTTTTTTTAGCGTGGCTACCAGGCCATTTAAAATTACAGCTGTGGCTGGCTCACATTCCGTTGCTATTGGACGTCGCTGCCCTGAGGGTTAGAAAGCCAGAGCTGAGATGCCCCAGTCCAGCAAAGCTTACACCACATTGGGACCACAAGGGGGCGCTACTGTGGTGCCGAGCTGCCTGGGGCAGGACTTCAGCAGCAAGCAGGCCGCCTCCTCACATTTTCTGATGCTATCTTTTAAGGGTAGCTTTAAACAGCTTTTTCTAAAATTTAAATGGCCCATATTATGTGACCCCGAGGTTAATATAAATCATTTCTCTAGGGCAGGAGTCTAACACTCCTGAATTACAATATTCAAGTCTGGAATTTTAAGGCAGCTGCAAGTTTCTCACCATCACAGCTAGGGAATGAAGAGGGACTGTGAATTCAAGTCGAGAGAAGCCTTGAAGCTGGGCCCCAGAACAGAAGGTGGGCTGTGAGTAAAAGCTGGAGGTAAGAGGGTTGGAGAAAAGGTAGCTCCAGGAGTGATAGGAGGACTTAAGCACAAGGAGTGGGTATTGGCTTATGGGCGATGGGTGACCTCTGGACATACTCCCATTTTCATCAGAATGCTACCAATCTGAGTGTAAATTGTTACCACCTTTCTTCGGGGCAATTTGTAAGTGTATTTTAAAAGCCTTAAAAATGTCAATATCCTTTGACCCAATAATTCCATTCTAGTAACTCATAAGGAAAATTTTAAACTGCACAAATATTTGGCTATAAGGATATTCATCCAGCATTTGTAATAGCCAAAGAACCCAAAATAACAATAAAACTATAAGCAACCTAACTGCACATTGATATGGGTTGGTTAAATCAATTAACAGTTATAATATGGACTATTTTGTAAGTGTTACAGAGGTTGTGTAAATGAATACTTACTGACATGAAAAGACATTCATGCTAAATTCTGTGAAAAGGGTCAGCTACAGAATTGTATGTCCAGTATGTGTGTCAATTTTGCTTAAAAAAGAAACAACAACAACAACATTAAAAGCATACATCTGCAAAGACAATTGGCTGAAAGAATATTCTCCAAGGGATTAATAGTCAACTCTGGACAGAGGCTATGGGTGGGCTTTCTTTCCTTATTTTTTAAAACTGCTTTTATAATTAACTTTTTTAAAGATTATTTATTTATCACAAGTGACACGTTCTTTCCCAAGCCCTCGCCAAAGGGGAAGAACCAACGTTTTCGTTAAAATCCCAACACTTTCCCCATACCTATTAGCATTGTTCCATCTCGTCCTCTAGTCCCTGTGTCCAGTCTTTTCCCCTGTAAGCCTTTCACCGGGGTCCTGTGTCTCTCTTGTCTCTCTCTGCCCCACCGCCTGGATGAGACCCCGTCGGGCCGCCCGGGTTGTTGTAAAACTTCAACAGGGTCTGGCCCGACTTCTTGGAGTCGGTGGAATTGTAATCCAAAGGTCTGTATGGAGGAGACAGAGGGACAGGCCAGGAGGCCGGCTCCGAGGGACGACCGCAGGCCTCCCTCCCACGGCGGCATTCCGCGCCGTCCCCTCGCCTGTTGCACAGGCAGCAGAACCTCCGCCCGGCTCGCGGTGGCGGGCGCGTAAAGATGTCATCCTGGACACAACGCGAAGGCTGCGCCACGAATTTTGTCCCTTCGGAGGCACCGTTCCTGCCCACGGCCCTCTCGCGTCATGTGAACGACCGAGGGGCACCCGAGACCAGCGGCGAAGAAGAAGGCGACTCACGGCGGCATGGAGGCAACTTTAGAGCAGCACTTGGAGGACACGTGAGTAGTATTCTCGTAGGCCTGTCCTGGGGTCGCGGCTGGGGGATTTGAACGGGACAGAGGGCGCAAGCTGCGAGCGCCGGCCGGGCGTCTTGGGGACGCCCTGTCCCGGGGCCTCCGGTGTGGGTGCGAAATGACCCGGAATTAAATCCCGCCGGGGCTCCGCACACTCCCTCCTGAGCGGGTCTCCGCGGCCCGAGCCCAAACCCGACTCTCGTGCTGAAATTGTCCGGACAGGGTCGTTCTTCGGGAGTTTTAGGAACCGGGTTCGTTTGGGAGAAGGAAGTACCACTTGTGCAGAGCCCTGCCTTATAAACGTAAACACACACAGCGTATTATTTCCTTCCGGGTGTAACCAGTTACTTGCTGAAAGGCATCCGTTAAATTTTTCGAATGAGTAATATCTACGGAAAATCCAAAGTTGGAAAAATAGAAGGCGTACAGGGAAACACCTCCCTCGCATCAGTGCCCCTCAGCTTCCCACTACCCCTCCAGGAGGCAGCCCGTGTTACTTAAGAGTTTGTCAACAGTTGTTTCAAGTGAGTTAGTATGTTAACATATGCATTTTTAACGAAGGCAACAAAATCCCAACTATTGCAATGTTTGTGGCCCTCCAGAGCTCAACAGTATCTGGGCACGGTCTTTATTCTCATGAGAGAGAAACTGGTTTAACTATTTAATTCAGTTAATTATAATTTAATTTTTCCTGGGACAGGGGTGGGCGATAGTGAAAAAAGATTAACACTGACTTCAAGTACTACAACAATGCCTGGTACAGAGAAAGCATATTTATGTTATAATTATTTAAATTCATTTTCCCACATCATTTGCTTTCTTCTTCCTGCGTTCCTGGAATTAGAATGAAGAATCCATCCATTGTTGGAGTCCTGTGCACAGATTCACAAGGACTCAATTTGGGCTGTAAGTATCTCACATCAACCCTTTGGTGGATTGCACAGCATTTGATGTTGACTGGGAGCCTAGTGTGCTATTATTCTCTAGTTTTTATTTCCTGTTACCCTGCCACTTTCTGGGGACTTTTGCAAGCGTAGAGATCATCCCCAAATAACAAAATTAGGAAATTGAAACTTCTCTATAAAGGTAGAAATGTTCCTTGCAGTTCTAGCACTACAGAGTCATTTCTACTAGAGTAGTATTTTAATCATTTTAAATTGGGTCTAGAAAGGACTTCAGATAATGACAGCAGTTACCATTTATTGAATTTCTGCCATATGGTGGGACTGTGAAGCTTTGTATACATTATCTCTAATTTTCACAATAACCCTGCTAGATGGGTGGTGTTACTTTTTAGTCCAACTTCACTTAAGAGTGAGTAGGTAGTAAAAATGGGGGCTGTAGGGTTGGACACACCTAGCTTCAACCCCTTGCTCTTCCATTTACTAGTGGTGTCAGCTTGGACCAAAAAGAACCTTTCTGAGCCTCAGTTTCTTTACTGAGCTGTTGCTTAATAAGAATTATTATTATGGAATTGCATTTACTGAGCTCTTACTATGTGCCAGGCACCGTTCTAAGTGCTTTGTGTATACTAAGTCATTTAATCCTCATGACTACCCTGTTAGGCAGATAAAGAAATGGAGGCACAGAGGTTCACTAACTTGCCTAAGGCCATACAGCTAGTAAGTAGTTGAGCTAGGATTTGAGTCTGGCTCAGAAGCCTCTTAATCAGAATACTATAAAATTATATATGTAAAGCACTCAGCACAGAACCCAGACATAATGCTCAATAAATGGTAACAATTACTGATGAGAAAATAAATCCAGAAAGGTAACAATGGAAGCCTTCAGCTAAGTAATGTCAGAACTAGTAAACCCAGGACACCTTGCTCCTTACTCCTCTGTACTGCAGGACTTTTTAAAGCTCTGAATTTTTGCTGGGAGGGTAATTGAAGGAAGTAGTCTGTAACTCAGGTTTTACACACAAATCAGTTTAGTTGGAAGAAAAAAGGCAGATTTTTTTTTGAGGCACTTGCCAGGCTCACAAAGGAAAGGCTGAAATTCAAGTGCAGAAATGTAAAACTAAATGTACTCCTTCAAGAAAACTTCACCCAAAAGACTGCACTGTGTGTCCAGTTAATGTTTTATGTAACAACAGTAAATCCATCAACTCTGCCATACTGGCATGTCTATTACCTGAGTTAGTTTCAGGCAGATGGGCTTGTGTTGCCTTTATATACAGAAAGATATTGTAAACTTAGTAATTACGTTTTGTACCTGACATCCAAGATTTAGTTATTATCTACAGGCTAAAACAAACATTAGTAAAAAGCCAATTCTGTTGCTATTTGAAAAACCAGTTTATTCTAGTGGAAATAATTGCTCACAGAATATTTATACATGCCGTTATTAAGGTGATCTTACAGCCAAACTCCTGAGTAAAGATCTTTATATCCTTTGAGGTTGATCTCAGTAAAAGGAAATCAGATTTTCCATGAGGAATTAATTAGTTTCAACAAGTCTCTTGCCCTTACTGGTTTTTGTCAGTCTCACCTATGAATTTCTTCGTTTCAGTTTGCTTTCAGATTGACTTGAATTACAGCTTCCTTATATGCTTGAGAAAGTGTTTAGAGATGGTGATGGGAATGACTTGGAAAATTGAGTGTTATGGCCTTTTACTGACTTAAAAGCTGTTATTGGCTTTCTCACTGATGGAACCACTGAGTGTCAGGGCAGAATCATTTTATGTCAGTACCTAACCTAAGAGACCATGAGCTGAACCTTCTTTTTGTGAATAATTCAATTCAGTTCTACTATACGTCTATACTCATTTTTGGACAGTCAGGCAACCTGATATCATCTCTGTCTTCCAGGCCGTGGAACCCTGTCAGATGAGCATGCTGGGGTGATATCTGTTTTAGCCCAGCAAGCAGCTAAGCTAACCTCAGACCCCACTGATATTCCTGTGGTGTGTCTAGAATCAGATAATGGGTGAGTAGATGGCAGCAGATCCCTTCCTTTCCTTTTCATTCAGAAAAATCAATCCCTGGGAAACTTGACTGGGGCTTGCCCTGTGTTCATCAGTGATTTCTCAAAGTACGTGGAGGAAGGTTCTACCCTTTGGACCACAGGAGCAGATGGATTGATCTCTAAAGCTAATGTGCTTTCACACCACAAAGACATTTAAATGAAGAGTAAGAGGAGTCATGAACTATCAATAAAAGAAGCAATAAATAACACAGAGGAAGACTAAACAAAGAACAGAAACAATGTCTGTAGTAATAGAAATACCAAAGACATTCCAAGTGAGGGTCCTCAGAATAATAGTAAATGAAAAAAGCAGAACCATGCACAGGGACTTCCCTGGTGGTCCAGTGGTTAAGAATCCGCCTTCCAATGCAGGGGATGCGGGTTCGATTCCTGGTCAGGAAACCAAGATCCCACATGCCGCGGAGCAACTAAGCCTGCACGCTGCAACAACTGAGCCCACGTGCCACAACCAGAGAGCCCGTGTGCCGCAATGAAGAACCTACGTGCTGCCATGAAAGATCCCTCTGTGCTGCGACTAAGACCTGACACAGCCAAAAATAAATAAAAATTTTAAATAAATAAATAAACTATGCACATTATGATCACAGTTCTGTAAAGTGAGAAAAAATGTATATATGGTATACATGCATATTAAAAAAGGAAAATATTAATAGTGGTTGTCTTTGAGTGATAGGATTATAGAATTAATTTCGTTTTTATATTTTATACTTTTCTGTATTTCCCAAATGTTTTATTGTATTTAGATATTGCTTTCATACATAGAAAAGTAAGTATTATTTTTTTAGTTGTGTCCTAAACCAAACAGCATCTTTAATCTTACGTCGACTCCCACTTGGAACACTTTACTGAATATCTTCCACTTTGCCTTTCAGGAACATTATGATCCAGAAACACGATGGCATCACAGTGGCAGTGCACAAAATGGCCTCTTGACATCTTGTATCAGTTCTCCAGCAGCTTGTCATGGGGACTCAATCGTACCTTATGTTAATTATCTTATAGAGCTATTAGAGTTCCAGTAATTAGGCCATTCATGTAATGTGCATTAGGCACTTTTCTATTAATTTTAGAGTAAGCTGCTTTTTGACACTCTGACTTATCAAAATTGACTTATCAAAATACTAGTTAAGGGAAGTATGTTTTGAAGCAAGTTTAGGTCACTTTGTATACAGAATTTTGTTATGTTTAATAAAACTGGTTGGAGGAAAGCTTGGATCTTTTCTGAATTCTTTAAACTCTTATCAAATGTTTATTTTTTCAATTATCAAATTGTAATCTTTCTTAAAAAGGTAACTGCTCCAAACCATTCTGTTTCGGAAGCTCCTGAAATACATAGATTCTCACAGAAACATCCATGGATATATAAAACAAGTCAAGCATACGCCTACCCCATAATAAAAACATAATAATAGATATCATAAGTACTTACTATATGCCAGGAGCACATTCAGTTCTCGTTAACAACCCTATATGGGTTCTCAATAGCAAAGAGGTGGAAGCAACTCAAATGTCTGTTGATGGGTGAATGAATAAACAAAATGTATATACATACCATGGAATATTATTCAGTGTTAAAAAAGGAAAGAGATTTTGACACATGCTATAGCATGGAGGACTCTATGCTAAGTAAAATAAGCCAGTCACAAAAAGACAAATCCTGTATGATTCCACCTATATGAGGTACCTAGAGCAGTCAAATTCATAGACATAGTAGAATGGTGGTTGCTAGGGTGAGGGGAAAAAATGGGGAGCTACTGTTTAATGGGTACAGAGTTTCAGTTTTACAAGATGAAAAGAGTTCTAGAGATGGATGGTGGTGATGGTGGCAACAATAATATCAATGTATTTAATACCTCTAAACTGTACACTTAAAAATGGTTAACATAAAAAAATGGTTAAGATTGTAGATTTTATGTATTTTACCACAATAAAACAGTTTTAATTAAAAAACATGAACTAATAAAAACACCACCTGAACTAATAAAAAATTCAGCAGAATTACAAGATGAAGATCAACTTACAAAAAGTGAAAAAGCTTCTATACCTCAAAATAGAAAATAAGAAAACATTTGCAATAGCGACAAAAACAATAATGCATTTAGGAATTAATAAAGGATGAAAAAAACCTGTATGGAGAAAAAGTTTAAACTCTTAAGGATTAAAAATTGAGCAGAACTAAATAAATACAAAATATTGAATACAATGTAACAAAAGGATATCAAATCTGCAAAGAATTTTTCCTGAATTCAATGTGTTGTAATAAAGATGGCAGTAGGAATTTTTTTTTGTAAACTTGACAAAC